TGCAAATATCTAGAAGTTATTGCTCATATTTTCAAAAATTGTCAAGGAACCTGGTTCCTATGACTCAGGTTAGTAGTTCCTTTTACACATATTCATTTTGAACTGCTAGTATGCCATGCCATTATTCTGTTCCTGTCTCTTCTGATGCCCTTTAAGCCCAAATATTACATATGTTCCAAATCGACTTGACGACCCGTCTCCTCTTTCTCACACCCGTTTGTAACCGGTCCCCTTTTATTTTATATACCAAAGTCAGTCCTTTTTCCTTACTTCAAACATCAAACACAACCTCTCTCCTCTCTCAAACCCTCTTTTTCTATCTTCTTTCTTATCAAAATTGAGTATGACTCAACAAGAGAATTCATCTCCCAAAGAAACTGCAGAAAACCCAGTCGTGTCTCCATCTAAAGAGGTACCTCCATCTGGATCTTATCCAACCACCTCACCCACAAAAGCCCCAATTTCTAACCAACCCAGCCCTAGAGTCATTTCTCCCAAACCATCTGGTTCTGGTCCTCATCGCAGCCGTAAAAATAAAACTCCTAAAAAGTTTGTTTCTTCTCCATCTCCATCTTCTCCTACTGAAAGAGTGGACTCCGAACAAACAATTTCCACCTCTCAATTTATTCAAACCTCAGAAGAAAGATTCTCAAGGCCGAGTCAGAAAGCTTTGTTCACAGAAAGTTCCTTCTCTCTCTTTTAAATCCTAGGGATTGCCTCAGGGACGAGGCCAGTCCCTGAAAAATCCATCTCGATTGGTATCATTCAAATGCGAATATAGGCCTGATTGAAGCTCATGTAATTGTACAGGTTCCCATAGCAATAACATATTTTGGTTCAGGCATTTGCTCATATAATCTCACTAAAGAGGGGGGCCATTTTCATTGTTACTGTTCCGGCTGTTAAAATTAGATCCGCTTGTCTAGGACTCGATCTTGGTACTAGTCCATAACGATCAAAGTCGAAGCGTGAGCCTATTAGTGAAGCAAATTCATTGAAGCAACAACTGGTACCATAGAGAAGCGGCCATAAACTAGAGAGTCTTGACCAATTTGAAAGATCATTTAATGTAGTTGAAATAACTGAATTTTGGGATGTTCGATCAAGTAAAGGAAACTGAATGGAATTCATAACTGTCTCAATCTTATTTTTCTGTTTTTCTTTTTATTGTCTGAATATTCAGGAGCTAAGACCATTCCAATTGCCCCTTTCGCCATGCAGGTCGGATTCGTGCAAAAAAGTAACATCCGAGATTTGTGAACAGACCGGCTTGGGACGACCTTTTCTTAAATTCAAGCGATCTTTTTGTAGGCGTTTGCCGCCGATTCAATCGGGGGATCGAATTGATTATAGAAACTTATGGAAGTGGATAAAGGTGTTGAGGTCTCGAGTCAGCGTGTTGTGATAGAGGAAGTAAGTTTGAACGAAGAGTCGGGTTCCCGTGTGGTTGAGGGCTCACATGCATCTGAAATTCCGAGGTTCAAGATGTTGAAGGGATTGTTCCGAGTATCTCATCTAGATCAGGTAATATTCCATCCCCTTCTACTATTACAGAAATTTTGGGTACGAAGGGTGAGAAAACTGTGAGTGGTACACATAAAGAAGGCTCTACTTCTCTTGAAAAAAGCCTGTTGTTGTGGAGAAATTGGTTGATAAGTCTATGTCTGATGATAGTGGTGCAGGGACTAAGGGGGAACCACTGAGCAGAGGGAAGAACAGGGTAAAGGGGAACAAGTGCCTGTCAGTACTACAGAGGAACCTACAGAAAGACCTAGTCCCTCTACCCGGGGGGGGGGGGGGATTTTCTGCTCCTACTTGGGCTGAAACTCCAGGTTCTATAAGACAGCCCATGGATAGTGCTGACACAACCCCTTTTGATCACCCGATTATTGTTCTGTTGGATATTATTTACCCTGAAATGAGGTCTGTGTCTGAGGGTAATTCTGGTGAGAGTGATGATGTTATTGACGATCTGTCTGTGATAAAGTTTGGAACAACTGGGGGTGGGGAAGCCAAAAAAGATTTTGTTCCCAAATGCCCTACCACTAGATGATAGAGCAAGGCTGAACTTGACAGTGCTCTGAAGGTAAGTAAGGAGAAGAAGAAAAGAAGGAGGCATATGAAAAGTCGGTTGATTAATAAGGATCCTGTTAAGGAACTCGCTCCTCTTGTTAGGAAAAACTCAAAGAAAACCATTGCTACCAAACAGAAGAAGGCAGTATCTGACAAAAAACTTGTCAGTGACAAGGATGATGAAGTGGGGGAGGGGGGAGAAGTGGAGAAAGAGAAAGTAGAGAGGAAGCCTCTAAGAAAGAGGCAAAGTACTGGTGAGGAACCTGGTTTCTCCAAAAGGCCAAGGGTGGAATTATCTGAGTTGGAGAGAAGGGAAAATCTGAAGAAGCAAAAGGTTATGTGAGGTCGAATTTTTTATAGTGAGATCCTTGAACAACCTGACATGAGACAGCTGGTAGATTGAATTACAAAAGTGGACACATCTCTTTGAAATCAAAAGTCCAAAAGTTTATGAAGATGAAGTGAGAAGCTTCTATGCTGGCATGTTCGTGGTAGATGGGGATACACTTTGTTTGAAGGTGAATGGAAAGGACTTTGTTATGAATGAGGCAATTCTTAGTGAGATCATTGATGTCCCCACTGCTGGGCTGAATACTGTGGAGGGAATTGGTTCCCATAACTTTAAGAAGTTGATCATCAAGAAGCAAGCGGTTCTATCGGGGGAAAGAGTACACAAGATAGCTCTTCAACCAGGATACTAACTGATGTTTGAGCTGGTGAACAAGGTGTTGTTCCCTAGGGCTGAGAGATGATCTATCACCTCTATTGCGGACGTGGTTCTTCTGGAAGCACTGGATTCTTTCTCTTGTATTAGTCTGCCTAGCATTATGATTGAACATATGCTGAAGGTGCCCCCTATGGGTTTCTCCTCACCAGAGTCGTTGAACACTTTGAGGTTCCTTTGGGAAAAGCATCTGTGGGACTATAAAGCAAATGTTCATCATGAATACTCTGGAAGAATGTGAGTGTGTAGTGAAGAAGAGAGGAGTAGGAAGCAACTCAACTATTTCTCAACTAATCGATGGTCAGAAGGCTGCCGATGAAGAGATCAAGCATCTTAAAGCGCAAAATGCCATTTTGGAGTCTAAACCTAGTTCCAGCATCACTCAGGGTGCATATATTTCCCGTTTGAAGGCTGAGAATGCTGAGTTGAGGAAACAAGTTCAGAACCTGAAGGAGCAGCTGATCAATGATCAGAGGGCTGCTAATGCTCGAATGGATAGTCTCATCAAGGCTCTTGTTCCCTAATCCTTCCTATCCTCTATCCAGTGTCTCCTGTTTTTGCACCCCTTCCCAGTCCTCTCCTAATCCTGTCCTTTTGTTGATCCTATTTTGTGATTGTGGTACTTTAATTTTTGATTTTATAATATTTGTGTGACTGGTACTACTACTTCTATGTTTTTTCTTCTTCTTTTTCCCTCTTATAATTAATGGGCATGGCTATCTATTTTGTGCAAAGTTAATCTCTTGTGTTCTGTTTTTAGCCATGTTGTGTGCACACAAGTTGCATGAATTACTGTTGCCGAACTTTTTTTTGCATATGCCATGTATAATTCTTTTTAACGATGCCAAAAGGGGAAAGAAAATTGAAGGGGAGGAAACTGATCCTCAGGGGCAAGGCGTCTGATTCATAAGGGGGACATGTGGAAATCTGGTTCTCAAAAGGGAATATCAATTATAAGTTTGTCATCATAAAAAGGGGAAATTGATAAGTTAATATTGGGATAGTCGTGGTGGAAAGATTGCTGGATTCGGATTAGTGAAGTGATACACAAAAGAGACTTTTTATGGTTGGTCTAAGCCGAATGTCCTCAAAATTGGTGGTATTTAAAAAATGACCTCGGAATCGCACACAGTTTTTCAAGGATTTTTCTTACCGGATTGTTCATCGAAGTCTATCAGAATATCATATTGTTGCTCTTTAGGGATTCTCTACCGAAATGGTAGAGTTGATGCTATTATTAATCTATTAAGTTATTCATTGAGTCTACCGGATTGTCATACTTATGCTCTTTAGGTACTTCTCTATCGGGTTGGTAGAGTTGATGCTATATTTTCTACCTATATGAAGTTGTTGATCGAAGTTTACCAGATTGGCGTACTTTTTTTAGGTTGTTTTAACAAAGTGTTCTTCGAATTTGCAACTTCAACTTTGATCAAACCATCCCAAATTTGCTCCAAATGATCTCAAATTTGAAACAAAACTTTTAAATACCAACACAAACATTTCTCATTCACCAATTTAATCGAATAACATCACATTAAAAAGACCCACTTTATCTTATTCAACACTTTCTAAGATCCAATAATAGAGTTTTAAGATTTTTACAATAAATCACTAAAATCTATGTTTTGAACTAAAAGTTAAGCATAAATTACCAATATTCAAACGATTTAAGTAATAATCAATCATTAACTTTTATTTTTTACCACCAAACAAGAATTTCAAGCTTTAAAAATTGAAGAACTATGGTGACATTCCTCCAAGATCACCTCCTTTGGGGATCACACCGTACTAATTTCAGGATTAGTGACTAGAGAGACCTTCATTGAGAACTTTGAATTGTGCTATCCTTATCACTGGGTTGGCAAAATAATTGAAGAATGAATTTAAATAGCCGCTTATTTAATAGTTTAAATAAAAGCAATCGGTATATATATAGATATATATATCGAGTAGGAAAGGTAAACAATCTGGTCGACTATTTGCGTAAAGATTTCAAAATAATTGTATGGAACTTTAGTTCACAGCCAGCGAGTTAGGGAGGTCGTGGTAATTCACCGGGCCCAAAGAGAATCTAATTCACTTTTGATGGGCCTTCTGTTTTTCTTGGGCCAACCGGACCCGTAAAACAACAAGGCTTAGAAAAGACATCAGGCCTCGAAAAGAGCCCAGAATCCAAATCAAAAGAAATAGAGACGTGTGGATAAGATGGGATACCAAAATTCTCCAGCTTCTGCTGAAGTGAGAGAGAGAAGTAGTACAGAGAAAGAGCCATGGCAGGAGCTTGCTTATCTTCTTCTTCTTCTTGTTGTTGGAACTTGACTTCTAAATTCAATACCCTTTCTCTCAATGGACCTCACCCCAACGCTGCAGCATTGAAGCCCCTCAGCTTCTCTGCCAACACTTCCCTCAATCTCTTCTCCAAAGGTAACTCACTTCATTTACTAATTTCACAAATGGTTGGTGCTTTATGGCCCTACTGGTTGTTTTCTTTGAGTTTTGCAGGGAGTGTATCGCTGACTTCGGTGCAAATGCCGTTTCGTCATTCAATCGTTTGCGAAGCGGCTCCAACGAAGAAAGCGGATTCAGCAGCGAAAAGGGCAAGACAAGCTGAAAAGAGGCGGCTTTACAACAAGGCTAAAAAATCTGAGGTCAAGACTCGGATGAAGACGGTTAGTTCCTTTCCCTATTTACTCCTACTTCTTTCTTTTTTTAATGGGCTCTCACTAGTTCTGGCTTTTATTTATGTTTGGTACTCCATCCGTCCCAATTTAGGTGGCAAACTTTTCTTTTTAGTTGTTTTAGACCATAAATTTTCAAAAAAAAAAAAAAAATCTTTCTTAAATTCCGTGTCCATTCAAACTATGATACATAAAATGGTATATCAGTAGCTTTGAGGTTTGTTTATTTATCCCTTTTTCTATAATTAATGATAATTTTGTTGAAGGATGGAAAGCAGTAAGCTAGTTCATCAAAGAATTTGTTTAATCTTATTTGAGTGCATGTTTAACATTTTTTAACTCCCATCTTTTGATACATCTCATGTGGTACACCAAGTCCTATTGAATTGTATCAAGCAGCACGGGCAAGAGTGAGTGGATGAGTGGGGGTAGTTCATTTGTTAATCTGATTCCTTGATTTTGATCTTTAAGGTCTTAGTAACCATTTTGCCTGTCGCACAGCATGAATCACTGTCTTGCCGAACCGTTAAAAATTATGCTGCTTATGGGTTATTGATCCTTGATCCAAAAAAGCAAAAGTTGGAGTCAATATTTAAACTTTGGAGAATAATCTGAATCTAAATATCAATAAAGCAGCAAGGCAATACTGATTAGACATTTTGTACTAAGCGCTCTTGCATAGGCTGTCGTCCACTGTTGGATAGCAGTTGTCCAGTACAAGAAATATGACTTTTGCATATATCAAAATTATTACCTCTTGCACTGGCTCTCTGCTCTCAGAGATGTTTCTTATATATTTTTTGAGGTGAAGGTTAAAATTTTGGAGCAAAAGACCATCTTCCTTTCATGAGTGTTTTACTGTCAGAGTACTATCTTCAGTATTATGCGAGGTCAAGGTGTCTAATTTCATGAATGTCACTTCGAAGGTGAGGTAACTGTTTCTAAATTTTCCACGTTTTGTCCAATATATTAGGATAGCTAGAATGGAACCCTTTTTGTATAGTTTCACATGTGAAGATTAGTTGTGTGCCTCGGTATGCACTTGAGTGTCATGATTCTGTAGTCAGCATGGCTTCAAACTCCAGCGTTTGTGGCCGAGTCATAGCTTCAACTGTTTAGGTCAAGTTGGAGTCTATTAGAGCTCCCTTATGGAGTTAGGTAACTCGTTTTCTTTCGTTTTCCTTTTGGTCACCTTTTTCCCCCATTTTCGGAGTCCTGGAAGAAAATTATATTGTTCCCCGAGGTCATGGATATTTGGAATATGAAGATGGTTCGTCATCAGGATTCTGTCCTTTGCTCCATCTATACGTCTATATGGTGCAGTAGATACTAGGTGATCCCAGAGTCTGTATGACTCAAGAAATTCAAGATTTCTGGCTTGACAAAGTCACAATATTACTTAGTTATTAAGATTAAAAAATGTAGGAAGCTAATTTAGTATGTCCTTGCACCATCAGGCAAAGTGAATAGACAAAGAGATAACAGTCGGGGACTATAATAGGGAAAAACGGGTTCAATATTTAACAAGAGTTGTTTCTCTCTGAATTGAAACTTGAACTGGAACCAAGGTCCGGTTCTACTTGACTGATTTGTGGAGATCCAAGTGGTAATTGAGAGTGATGAACAAACTAAGTGAAAAGAATCAGGTATCCTGAGAAGTTTGATAAAATAAAGCCATTGCTAATAAAGTAATGCTGATTAAGTTCCATAAATCTGTCCTTTATAAAACAGATCCATGAATCTGTTTTGAGTTCATTTCTAATGTCGCACTTTTGAAAAAAATTAGTGTTCTCAGTTTTATGCCACAGAGATCAATTTTCATGGATCCCACGTGCTGCATTTGCAGCATGAAAATAATAATTCAAGAAAGATTAAAAAGAAGCATTTTCCAGAAACGCCAACAAACATATTGAGAAAAAGATATAGCTGATGCAGGCTTCTTCATCTCAGCATATGGATGTTAACCTTTGTTCATTTATAGGTTTTGGAAGCATTGGACACATTGAAGAAGAAGACCGATGCACAGTCAGAGGAAGTTATTTCTGTTGAGAAGTTGATCGCGGAGGCATATTCAGCAATCGATAAAGCAGTCAAAGCTGGGTCACTTCACAGGAACACTGGAGCAAGAAGAAAATCTCGGCTTGCTAGAAGAAAGAAAGCAGTTGAGATCCATCATGGATGGTATGTGCCTGCTCCAGTCGCAGAACCCGCTCTTGTAGCCACAGCTTGATGTCATCCACATTTTCCATTTTGAATGTAAAGCAGTGGCAGATTGTGAAGAATTCAGCTTCCTAAAGTATGATCAGATTATTCCATTTTTGATATTGTATATGACCTTGTTGTGCAATCAATTTCTCCTTTTCTTTTGCTCTTCAGTTAAATTGTGTTTACCTTCATTTTGTTTCTTGAACATTATGGCGTTAATTAGAATATTGATTTGAGACACACTTTCAAATGAACATTTTCTTGGAATTTTAAACTATACTGATAGTGTAAAAAGTTTATACATTGTTAGTGTATAACTTAAATCCTTTCTTACCAACAATTACTGGCTTCTTCTTTTTTTTTTTTGTTTTTTTTTTGCAATGGATTTTTTCTCTTCTTCGAAAGCAATGTACTTGTTAATCATCTTGGGGAAAACAATGTTCTAGCTGCTTCTTTCAATGAGGAAATTGATGTTAAACGTTTAACATCTGTTACATTTTAAACACAGTTCAACCATTTTTTAAAGCAAAATTTAGAATTCAATACAATGAACGGAATTATTAGGCTTAGACGAATAGAAAATATCATTTAAACATGTTTTTCGTTTCTACATTGCCTTAAATTTGTTCCTACATTTTGTTCTACTTCGCCTAAAATTTGTTCTTACATTTTAAAACATCTTTCTTGTTTTGACTACATAATTGTGAGTTTGAATGTAAGACGAAGTTTCTCTTACTTGGTTTATGAATAACTAGGGATGGCAATTTGAGCCCAAACTCATTTAACCCGCCCAGAGATTAATGAGTTGGGCTACAAATATTTTAGCTCATGAGACAATTTGGGCTGAGCCCAAGTTAACCCATTAATTTTTTAGGAATTTTTACCTCCTGTAGCAAAGGTTGGTACCTTATTTATTTTAAATAAATACCCTTTTGAAAAATTATATTCCATAGCTACCTTTTGATTTTTATAGCCAAATATCTATTTATGGTCACCTCCTACCCTTAAGCCATAAAATACGCTTTGTATTATTTTTCTCTCTCATTCTTTCAGATTTTTCTCCACCCCTCTCTCTCTCAACAACAGTCTTTCTCCATGAATACAATCATAATTCTCCACTAATTCATCTCCATTGTCAAACGAAATTTTCATTGTTAGTGGCATGGGTCTCTGAATCAATGTCGAAATCAAGCCCTAGAGAGAAAGATGGAGGTTCGAAATCTGCTATTGAAAGGTAAATTGGGGCTGACAATGAATTCGTATAGCTATGTTTAGCGGTTGAAGAGCTTGTTTAGAAATTAGTTTTTTATGTTTCGTATCAATGTCGAAATCTGACATAGGGTAAATTGGGGCTGACAATGGAGGTTCAAAATCTGCTATCGACGAGACGACATTAGGGTTATTCTTGAACAAAGACGACGGAGTTTGGGGCTGAGCAACTTGAAGAGTGTTACCTTTTTCTTCATTGTATTTCAATGTATCTCGTTGTATTCTATGTATTTCATTGTATTCATTGTCTTTTTTTTCCCATTGTATTTCAATGTATCTCGCTGTATTCCATGTATTTCATTGTATTCACTGTCTCGCTATATTTCATGAATGTATTCATATATTTTTTTAATTAATATAATTTATGTATTCAGATGTATTTATGTATTCAAACTTATAATTGAGTTTGTTGAGTTATATTAGGAGTCTATTTGTGTTAATTGATTCACTTTCCGTTTAAAAGCAACTGAATAGACCATGATTTACGCTATTTACGTTACTGTATTCACAAATACATATCGTGAATACAGTCGAATACAATAATTGTCTAGCTGTACTCCCCTGTTTCACGCCGAGTTTTGCTACTGTATTCATGAATACAGTAGCTTAAATACATCGAATACACTCTAGCAAAACTGAAAACATAGTTATAGGAAGTAATATAGTAAATGGTAGTTATAGCTAGTTAATAACCACTAAAAAATAGTGGTTTGTGAAAAATTTTCTTTTTTTTATAGCCCATTCTGGCCTATTAAGCAGCCCAAATACAACCCATGAAACTCAATCAAAACAAAAGGAATCTCCACCCAACTTATCTACAAATTTACTTAGGCCCCAATTTTACTTTTTTTTTCTTGTATTTTCAATTTTCTGTTCTTTTGTTTTTTTGCACCAACCACTCACCCTACCCCCTCCAAACCCCTCAAAAAAAAATTTTACTTTTTCTTTGTTTGTATTTTTAATTTTCTGCACCAACCACCCACCCTACCCCTCCTCTCCCTACCCCTCCCCACCCCGCACAACCCCCTTCAAAACAAATTTTACTTTTTCTTTATTTTCAATTTTCTGTTTTTTTTTTCTGCACCATCCACCCACCCTACCTCCTACCCGCACCCCCGCAAACCCCCTCAAAAAAATTATTTTACTTTTTTTTTTCTTTTTGTATTTTCAATTTTCTGTTTTTATTTTTATTTTTCTGCACCACCCACCGTACCTCGTGCGTAAACCCCCTCAAACAAATTTTTTTTACTTCCTTTTTTCTTTGTATTTTCAGTTTTNTTTTTTTCTTTGTATTTTCTGTTTTCTGTTTTTTCTGCACCACCCACCCATCCCAACCCCCTCCCACACCCGTAAAATATTTTTCGACTTACACATTTTAAGGTAAAATGCTTTTTTATGTAAGGTGGGCATGGTTCTAAAACATGGGTCAAGTTGGACGGGTTGGGTTGTGACCCATTGTCTAGCCCATCTTGAGCCAGCCCATCTTAGCCCAAGTACACTTTGGACTGAGTTGGGCAATGACTCATCTATTGACCTAACCCATCTTGACCCGCCCAAATTCAGTCCAACCCGCCCATTTGCCACCCCTATAAATAACAAAGATCGATTAAAGGTGGTAACTTGCCCACCTATATTTGAAAGGGAACTCACATTAGTTCCTCTTATATTTTTTGTATCAATAAAATATTCTTTTTGTTTTTTAGCAAAGGAAAGATACATATATTATAGCTAGATAGGGTTCAAAATATTACAACCATTGTTCGTGTCACTTAGGACACATTTGTTACCAAAGTTTACTAGACTATTACATGCATCAATATTTAAGTGTTTCACAAAACTACTTATTCAGTTTGATCCCTCCTCACACACGATTCCACAAAAACATGAGGTTGGACGTAATGTTTTTTCATCCTTGTTTGAGCCTCTTATTTTTTGCTAGCAGGTGTGCCACTTCATTCCCCTACCTGAAGATGTGTCTGAGGATCACGTCCTTCTCCCGGTGCATTAACAATCTGCATGCATATACAATGTCATTAAAAATATAATTTCCTTGATTTATGCATTGGATTACCTCAGTGCAGTTAGTCTCAATCTCGAGAGGAAACAAATTCCATTCCTGGGCAGTTTGGAGCCCTTCAAACAGGGCTAAGAGTTCAGATTCCAGTGCTCCATTTGTATAAGTAGATTTTGTGAAGCCCACAATCCAACTTCCACTTGTGTTTCTGAAAACCCCTCTCAGGCCACTCTTTTTGCTTTTGTTGTAACTTGCATCTATGTTTAGTTTGTACCATCCTTTGGTAGTTTATGCCATCTTACATTTATGATCCTTTTCTTTAAAGGGTTGTGAACATTTTCTGCTAGGAGTTTGTATTCTATGATCTTTGCATGATGAAATTCATATTGATATTGTTGGAGGTATTGTTTTGATTATTGTTATTTCTATTTATCCAATTGTTCCATAGTATAAAGGGAAAGAGGGTGTTCCGGTCTATAAAATTGTTTCTAAGATTTGGGTTTAGGTCTCTTACTTGAAAGAGCCAGTGCTTGTCATTCACTTTATAATTTAACTGCCATCCCACACTTTCCCAAAAAAATTTGGAAGTTTTACAATTGAAAAATATATGAATTATAGATTTTTCTTCCGTCTTACATATTGGGGACATAGGATCAATGTTCATATTAATGTATGCTAGATAGGCTCTACATGGTAGCCTATTGTGGAGGCATTGTCAGAGTAAAATTTTTATTTTGTTTGGGCACTTGTGTTTCCATATCCAATTGAAATCAAAGTTATTTACTTTACAAGGCTCAATTAAGTCATAGCAAGATTTGGTGGTAAAGGTGCCTTTGTAGGTTTTTGACCAGATTGGAATATTCCATTTTAGGCCATTGGTATGAACCCTAACCTTGGAGATATGATGTCTGACATCCTTTGGCAAAACTATAGAGAGTTTTGAGAAGTTCCAATTGTGATCATTATGGATATCTCTTATTTTTAGGTTTTGGTCATCAGTTGAGAGGGGACCCTCGATTAGGCTACGCAAGTTTGTTGTATCTCGAATCCATTTTGTGGACCAGATATTCATATTAGAGTTTTGGTATGGAGACCAAGTAATACCTTTGTTGCAAATTCCCCATCCTTTTAAAATACTTTGCCAAACTAAAGAGTGGTTATTAATAGCTTTACTAATGCCATAGGTGGAGGTGATAAGGCTAGCCCACGGAGTTGTAGTGTTTGAGAGAAGTCTTCATGCTAAGCTGGCTAGCAGACTTAGATTTTTAGTTTTTGCATCCTTAATGCCTAGGCCTCCATTGGGTTTTGGTTGGCATATTGTAGACCACTTAATTAGGTGAAGCTTTTTCTTTTCAGTTGTAGTCCCCCATATGAAGTCTCTTTGAAGCTTATCAATGTTTATTAAAGTTTTTGTAGGGAGGAGGGTGTATTGTATGTAGTGGTTAGGGATTGAATTAAGGCAAGCATGGGCTAGGGTAGTTCTTCCAGCTATGTTTATAAACCTGGTCTTTCAGTTTGCCAATCTGGCCCTCATTTTGTCTAGAATGAAGAGATAATCACTAGGTTTTGGAGTTTTAGTAAGGATTGGGAAACCTAAATAGGTTCCAAAAGTGTTGCTCTTTTTAAGACCTAGGCTAGAAGAGATATCCTTTTTAATGTTAGGAAGACAATTATTTGAGAAGATAATTTTGGACTTGGTAGTGCTTACATTCTGGCCGGAAAGGTTACAAAATAACTTAAGGCCTATTTTAATGGCTTGGCATGAAGAAATGCTTTAGCCATCAATGTTAGATCATCCGCAAAATAAAGGTGAGAGAATTGAGGGCTCTTCCTACCTATTTGTATGGGATTTCAATTGTGGATATCTACTTGATAGTTTATGTATCT